CAGCCTGACACTTACAATACGTCTCTATATATGTTTGTGCAAGTTAATAGCTGCGTTCCAAAGCCTGGACTGCAGCCGAGGTAGGCCGCATTTCTCGGCCGCTACATCATAGAAGGCTATTCCAAAGTGAAGGACCCTTCGTATACAGCCTAGAAATGCAGACAGATAGATTTCGAGGACTCAACTGATGTCTCCTTCCAGGCCTTCAGATACCCACAGTTCTCTGCGCATGAACGATGCAAAGGGGAAAAAAAAACAGCATCACGAAAATGAAAAACAAAGCCGCTGGAGAAAAGCTTGTTTTAAAAGTTGTTCACGTCCTTGAATTCAGCTTCATGACCTTGTTAGAAGGTTTGTCCATGTATCGTATTTTAATCAGAAGTATTTGTATGAATGTAGTTTATTGTACTACATAAGCTTGTTGGTGTATCAGCTACCATAGCAACAAACACAATGCAACAGGCTCTCACCAGTTCCCTCACAAGAGGTGGAACCCTTCTGGTGACGTCACCACGCAGCCTCGTTAGGACCATTTGTGTGACCAAGAGGCTATTAAGGAGAAGTCTTCATAGGACAGACCTGCGGAAGAGCCACTCTACATCGGCTGCAGCCTAGTCTTTGGAACACAGCAACCTCGTATCTCCAAAATGGTAACTTTAGAGGAGAAGGAAAAAACCTACTTTCCTTTTAGTGTAAGTCAATGGAACCAGAATTATTTCCAAGTCATTTTGGGTCTTTTCTTTTGGTCCATATATCATGACATTTACACACAATGTAAAGGGCAACAGGCATTTTCAAATTATGTCGAAAACTGAAAAACGTCAAACGAGATAGGAGGTATTCTTCCGACAGCAGCGATATGTCAGTTGTTATGAAAAGCTTAGGTGGGCGTCATCAAGTCTTTACCAAAAACTATTAATACTAGAGGTGAGACTTACGAACGGTGTTTTCATTTGTGGCTTTCCTCACTGAATGAACGACTGAACTGAGAAAGGCTACAGAATGAATCATTAGCTGCTAGTGCAAATCCTCAGTCAACAAGTGAAGCACGACTCTTTACCATAAAGAGCTGCCAGCCCTCCGTACTGAAACACACACTAGCTGATAGTTTACGATCAACAGAAAGCAGTGTTTAAGTGGGTGGAGGTCAGATTGCATTACACATCAACGCCTCCTCACCTTATTCACACACAAACAGCTTTCGGCTTTAATTGATACAAATTGCGGCTCGGTTTCGCCTGTCGGTTTGTTTTTTTCTGTTCGTTTATTTGTTTGCCTGTAACCGCATGATGAGCAGCAGCCTAATGAAGGCCCGTTGTGGATTCCTCTATGGTAATGCGCTGTCTCTGGGCCATTGTTAGCTGAGATGAAGAAGGCCCGGGACGTTGGGTTTTGCTTGTTTAAATAATGAAATTTATATCTTGAAGCTTTTGAGCGTGTTTGTGAAAACGCTTCATCATGTTCATCATGTTCTCACGATTAAACACGCAGGTTTGTTTTTCTAGCTTGGCAGGACATGAGCTCATATATATGTACCCTATGTGTTACAGGATGAGTACCTGTATGTAATAATAATATGTCTGATATGTATTATAAACACAGTACAGTATTCGTTTCCAGTCAAAACAGCCATTAAGGATGAGTTATTCATTTTTCAGTATTAGAAAAAAGCAGGAAACTTATATTTAATGGAAAATTCACAAGCCCTCCAGCACTAAGCATTAATTCTATCAATATTTCCTGTTTTACCCACTTTTTGCTTCTGTGTTCTACTGCAGCTTCAACTCTTCTATTCTTCCAATCTTAAAGCCAACCAGTTACAGCTGCGTCCTCCCAACAAAAGCTGTTCCCAAAGGTTTCACTGGCATTAAGATCCCCTTCAGTGATACACTAACGTTCACACAAGCAGCTACCCAAACTCACCTCAGCTGCCTCTCTCATGTGAGAAGAGATAAAATCCACAGGTGTTTCTGTCCATCCTTCCACTGTGAGAAGATGACTCAGCACTATGAGTCTGAGACCTCAACATCACTGAATGTGCTTAGATTACTTGGACTGTGAGATGCAGTACATATATCCAACTTCTAAGGCTGAACTTTGGAGGTGTGGAAAAATATCTCTAGAGATTTCATTGAAAAACTGAAAGCAAGTGTCATAAAAAAAGAATGGAAGCTGTAACAAAGGTGAAAAGTGGACACTAAATACTGGAAACAAATATGTTTTGTTGTTGAGGCTTCTGTGTAATTTTCCGATATGACCCAAATGTAATACATGTATTACAACACTGCTGTCGGAACAAAACCTTGTATCTCCTTTTTTGTCAGTTTTTTGTTTTAGATAATATTTGAAAATACCTGTGAAAATACCTGTTGCCCTTTACATGGACTAAAACATTAAAAGTAAAGTATGTTTTTATATATATATATATATATATATATATATAGATAGATAGATAGATAGATAGATATAGATATAGATAGATATAGATATATTCATTCTGTCCAATGAAAAACATGTATTCATGTTTAACGACCAATAGAAATGCTCCAAATTTGCCTAAAATAAAATCTCTTTCCATAAACTTACATTGAAAAGGTTTTTGGAGATACTTGTTTTTCTTTGGATAGCGATGATATATATATATATATGCAGTAATATGTTCCAAAAAGTATACATATGTGAAATAATTTTGTTTTCATTTTTAAAAAATGAAACATAGAGCTTTTGTAAACAGCGCTGTAAAAGGACAGGATCGTTTTGCTGCTCGTTGTAGGAGAGCCCTGTTATTTCATGCGCAGAGGTGTGTGGTGAAGGAGATGGATTACGCTCTGCTGCCAAAAATACTCTCTGATGGAAGACATGTGCAATGTCAAGGCCTCACGCCTATTCCTGTCTGTCACTTACTGAGGGCGAGAGACTAAGAGAGACAGAGAGAGAGAGAGAGAACTTGAGAAGGAGGGAGGGTCTTTACAAGCGTAAAAGAACTTGAATGAATCACTATAAATGTAATTTTATTCTGCTTATTCCTGGACTTGCTTGTTTACCGTTCCAACCATCATAAACTATTGATAGATAAATCTTCCACATTCAAAAAAAGAAGGTTCATCAACGGTTCTTTAGTAAGGGCAATAGTTCTATACAGACCCCGAATCTATATATTATATCTATCATGCTTTAACGGTTCTTTGCATGGTGATATAGTTCTTCAGAATAATGGAGAATGTGTTGTATATGGTTCTGTATAGCACCAGAAGGAGTTCTGCTATTGTTACAAGCGTGACATAGTAACAATAAAAGAACCCTTTTTGGTGCTATATTAGAACCATTTTCAAAAAGGTCCTACATAGAACCATATAAAACACATTCTACATTTAGCTAAAGAACCACTTCACCATGCAAAGAGCCATTTAAGCATGAATTGATTCTAAGTACAACTCATGGTTCTGAATAGAATGATTGCTGATAACCATCTGTTTGGAGTTTGTAGCTTTTGTTTCCTTCATTTTACTGCTCTTTTCTGAAAAGTATTTGGCTGTAAATCTGATTATTCTCTGTATCACTGGACATGCTTTCTTACATTGCAGTCATTTTACACCATTAGTGATAGCTGTTCTACCTCAGCCCTTCTTCAAACCACCTTTTCCTCATTTCGCTGCCCTTTTGTGTGAATTCCTTTGTACTTTAGAGGAAAAAGATGCAGGTACAGCCTCTACGTGATGTTCGGCGGGAGAGTGTCCAAGCAGAAACTTTCCCAAACCGCTCCAGCGAACCTAGACAGTTCGGTAAATTGCATAACACGGATGGAAGGCTTTGTATTGTGTTAAAATAGTTGCTCGGTTGAATAACTGGTTTCATCTAGTCTCCAACAAAGAGCTAAAGACTCTGTTAGACACATGCAAACCAGCTCTAATTGACTTTCAGAGGCAGAGAGAACAGAATGAACAGGAAAATGAACATAATGATTGATTTTGTGGTATTTCAGCTGCTTGAATCAGAACATTGTGGAACCAGTGCAGTTACCCATGCAAAAAATAAATAAATAAATAAATAAAAAATGACAAGCTAAACGATTAACGCCCCTGATGTTCGGAAAAAGTGGCGTATGTGGTTTCATGCACCAGTTCAGTTCACATGATCATCTTCTAACCTCTCTTTTCCCCTTAGAATTATACAGGCTGTTTTTTGTTTCTGTGCCTTTAAGACTGATACATGTAAATGACCTCTGTTCTGATTGGCTGCCTTGTATTGTGCCTCGTTCAGTAACTTAACTATACTAAATGAGGTGATGAATCATGAGTATTTTCCTTGTTTGACAGCCCTAAAAAATGTGATATATTGAAAATGTATAGGTCTTTATGGTAATATGTTGCATTCAGTGTATTAGTATGCTGTAGTAAATATGTATATTGTGATGTATTGACAATATATTACAATATATTCAGTTTATATTTGAAAATTAAACTGACAGCACATTGTAGATGTCATAAAAAAACCAAACCTTTTATATCTGAAAATCTGACATTTTATAAAAAAAGGAAAAAAAACTTCGGTGTACATAAATGAAATTAAATATTATATTTCAGTAATTATAGGTAATCATTTTTGATTATTTCTATTGATTCTTTCATCATGCAGTGTTCATACAATGTAAAGCGCAGCTACCATTATCAAATGCTGCATAAAAACAAATGAAAAATCAGATTATTTACAAGGTTTTGCTATGACAGTGACAATATATTTATAGATATAAAGATATAGTTTATTTTCATAGAGGCCTCCATCTGTATGATACAACCTTTTCACTTTTCAGTTAAAGTTTCTTCATTTCTTCATGGCCTAAACATCCCTTTACACGTACCCCAGCACAACTGTTTGCTCAAACGGTCATTTCCTGAAAGCCTGCCTCCAAACACAATCAGATAGAGAAGAAAACGCATTCCAGCCTGCTGGATTAATGGAGCTTCATTTTCCCTGCTGACCTCTGTTTCCTTTCCCTGCAGATTCTCTACGACAGCCCGAAGGCTCGGCGCGAAGTGGAACTGCACTGGCGCGTCTCCGGAGGGCCGTATATAGTGCGGATCCTCAGCCTGTACGAAAATATGTACCATGGGAAAAAGTGCCTGCTCATCATCATGGAATGGTGAGGAACTGCCACTGATTCAACTACGTTTCCCAGCATGCATCACTCAGCCTTTTATAATGCATATCCCAGGCCTCAGTCATCAGCAGATGGTCACACTGACAGTAAATGGTTTTAGCCAACTTCCTACCAGTTTACTTAACAAAGGAACTTTATTTATTCATGCATGGGGCCGGTGAGAACTTCTGCTTTTTGAAGTTTGCTATTGAAGGGGAACTAGTATACTGGAGAAAGACCAGTCTAAATGCTTTATGGAAGTGTTTTGGTATGGAAGTACACCGAACAGGCATAACATTATGACCACCTCCTTGTTTCTGTGCTCATTGTCCATTTTATCAGCTCCACTTACTATATAGGAGCACTTTGTAGTTCTACAGTTACAGACTGTAGTCCATCTGTTTCTCTGCATACTTTGTTAGCCCCCTTTTACCCTGTTCTTCAGTGGTCAGGACCCCCATGGACCCTCACAGAGCAGGTACTATTTGGGTGGTGGATCATTCTCAGCACTGCAGTAACACTGACGTGGTGGTGTTGTGCTGGTCTGAGTGGATCAGACACAGCAGTGCTGCTGGAGTTTTTAAACACCTCAGTGTCACCAAAAACATCCAGCCAACAGTGTCCTGTGACCACTGATGAAGGACTAGAGGATGACCAACACAAACTGTGCAGCAGCAGATGAGCTACTGTCTCTGACTTTACATCTACAAGGTGGACTGACAAGGTAGGAGTGTCTAATAGAGTGGACAGTGAGTGGACACAGTGTTTAAAAACTCCAGCAGCACTGCTGTGTCTGATTCACTCAGACCAGCACAACACACACTAACACACCACACATCAGTGTCACTGCAGTGCTGAGAATGATCCACCACCCAAATAGTACCTGCTCTGTGAGGGTCCATGGGGGTCCTGACCACTGAAGAACAGGGTAAAAGGGGGCTAACAAAGTATGCAGAGAAACAGATGGACTACAGTCTGTAACTGTAGAACTACAAAGTGCACCTATATAGTAAGTGGAGCTGATAAAATGGACAATGAGCGTAGAAACAAGGAGGTGGTCATAATGTTATGCCTGATCGATGTATATGCATACAGTCATATTAGAGCTGGGCGATATGGCCAAAAATGTTATCACGATAAAAAAATTAATATCAGTCGATAACGATACATATCGCCATAAATGTCAAATCATTATTTCTTTCAAGTTTAAAGACTGATTTTTGCTCCTAGGTGGTTAATTGCTGTTTTAAACTGTCCTTTATGGTCAGAACATGACAAACACTCACTCCTCCTTTTAGGTACGTTTAAACTGAAATCAGTGCTTTTTTGTCTTGTTTGATCTACAGTAACATCAGTTCGCCATGCTGTGTGAGTGACAGAGCACTGCTTCAAGTTAAAACAGCCCTAAAAACAGCTAGCCTGGGAAGCTAAAGCACTAATACTAAAATATGCCTGAGCGCTGTAACAGTGCTGTAGCTGTGAGGAGCAGACGTGATTTAATGCTGCTAAAGCTGGTTAGGATGTTAGGAAAGAGGTGAGTTCACTGTAGGACAGTACAGTTACGCCACTGACCTCGTCACTCGCACTTGGTCACTGCAGAACAGATTGCCGGTCGCTCCACTCAAACAGACAATACCCACATGTCGAAAAACTCGGAAGTGCGCCCCCTCGTGGCGACAGCAGAGTAGTGTCGCCTTAGTAGAAAATGCCACCAGGGCTTTCGCTAGAACACGGAGGTATGAGAAAGGTTTTTTATATCGAAAATTTATCGAACATTTCTTATAGTTCTATCGAGGAAAGTTATATCACGATAATTATCATTGTCATTTTATCGCCCAGCCCTAAATCGTATGCAAAAGTTTGGCTGCCCCCGGTCAAATGACACATTTTGTTGATTGTCTAAGTGAAAATAAGTTAACACATCCTCCACAGAGAACACGAATATGATGAATGCAAAATATTGGGATGGAAAAAAAACATATAATATGGCCTGTAAAAGTTATGGCACGTTTTATATTTTATGTATTTTTTTTCCAATGTGTTACATTCAGCAAATAAACAGAATTTGTGCACTAAACTTTGTAGAGAAATGCCATAATTAAGTGTGGTGCCTGTAGAGAATGTGTTAACTTATTTTCATATTATATATGTAACATTTATATGACCCTTTGTCTTGAAAAGGCATAAAAACTAACCTGTATGTGTTACTCAAGTGCTACCTGCCCTCCCTCAAACCGTTAACTTTGTGGTTTCCAATGACACACTTCAGCCAGTAGTCCAAACACACACACACACACACACACGCGCGCGTGCATGCTAAGCCTCAGGAAGTGAGTTAAAGCTGGCTGCACTGGGCCTGTGGTTTATGATTTACAGCATTGCACAGTTCAGTGTTTTTCCCTGTAACATGCTCTGTTCAGCTCATAGGACTTCACGTGTTACAGAAATCAGATGTGTGAGAGCAGGTTGATAAAATGATGGTGTCAATTTGATTGTAGTGTGTACATCATTTACACACAAATAACATATATTACATCAACACAATCATTGCCCAAAGAAAACAGACTGAAATATGAAATATGTAATAGCGCTGATGTGATACGTTTCATTCATGCGGAAATAACAAGTGAATTCAACATAGCACTCGTTTCCACCACTGAACTCAACACTGAACTGTGCAGTGCTTTGTACTTTTAGGAATTGGGCTTTTACATGATGTAGACCAGCCCACCCCAAATTCTAACTGTATTTGGCTGCTGTTGGAAGAAAACCTCGTATCTCCATTTTTGTTGTTTTTCAGTTTTTGACATAATTTGAAAATTCCTGTTGCTCTTTACATTGTTTGTAAATTTCATGATGAAACGGCCCAAAATGACCTGGAAAAAAGTCCAGTTCCATTGACTTAGATTAAAAGTAAAGTATGTTTTTCCTTCTCCTGTAAAGTTACCATTTTGGAGATACGAGGTTTTCTTCCGACAATACAGATTTTCTCTATTTTCACATGAAACCGAAGTTCAAGACACAGTGGCCGAAATCTGACATTTTTTTCTTAATTTATTTTGGTTTATTTATGATTTTGAATAAACTTACATAAACATAAAAACTACAGGGTAAACAATAAGTCTGCTTTCAGTAGCACAAAGCAGAGCTGGCAATTAATAAAAAAAGCACTTTACACAAAATAAACTTACTGAAATGATTACAGTGTGTAGGATAGAGGACTGATTTAAGCATTTCTACCTCTAGCTGACCAATTACATTCCCCACACATGGGCTGTAGGGGAGAGCGGGGCACAACCTAACACTGTTTGGTTTTTTGTGAAATAATTTGAAAAATATTTAAGTTGGAATAATCATGTTTTCATAGAAGCAACATAAACATCTCTGCTACAAAGGAACACTTGAACTTTGTTTCTAGCTCCTACTGTTCATGTACAATTCCACTGAAAATAAGAGGAAGTGCAATGTTACAATTTACCCCCAGGGTGGGTTTAACTGTAACAGACAGAGAGTCAGTCTAACACCTGCTAGAAAAGTCTGATGAATTACTGCAAACAAAGTTAATTCAATATAATTCTATATAATAAGAAACTAATATATTTTCCAACCGTACTGCATTATGTATTATCTATCTGTAAGACAAACAGACCGATCAATTAATAGATACACACACACATCAAATTATATATGAAAACTGACTGAGACTGTGTGTCAAACAATGACACATATATTTAGGAAAGCAAATAAAAACATCACACATCAGTAAAATATGGAACAGTTTCTGAATAACTGCAGCTTTATAAACTGTTAATGTCAATTTCATTAATATACTTATTTAAACCCAAAATACTGACATCTGAGAGATGCTAATAAAGTAGAAAATCCCTGTTTTCTGTCTTTTTCATTTTAAAATATGTGTAAACGTGGAACAAATTGATAAAATTTACTTTATTTGTCTTTGTTTACTAGAGGTGTCTTAGTAACACGTGTTACAACTAACCCCGCAGTACGAAGGCTGTACGTAAGCACAGCTGCACTTGCTGTGAGCTGGTCACCTGCTTCAAAATGGCACTACGTTGTAGCAACAAGATGGTGATTAAAGTAATATAAAGTTAATATAAAGTTGGATTCTTACACGAACAGCTCAGTAACCGAAAAAAAAAACTTGTGGTGGAAAAATGACTGTACTTGCCCTGAAAACCCTCATTGACACAGATCTCTTTAAAACGCTGACGAAACGCTCTGGATTTTCACAGGAGGCCGTGGCTGGGAAATGTGGTAATGTGGCCAGAAGCATGCGCTGTTTGACCTTGTATAACAACATAAAAAGTCCGTGTTAAATTGTCCCCCGTGTTAGGTTGTTCCCCGTGCTTCCCTACCACTTAACAAGGGGGCCACTAATTTCACCCCTAACTTACTACAAATGTAGACTTCTTTGTAATGTTTACAGTTTGTCTCTGTGTTCCTGTGTTTGTATACATGGAATTATATATGTTAGCCCACAGTAACCGTCCCAAAACCTCACCGGCCCTCTGAGGATTCTCCCGACTCTCCCGATCACCGTTATGTCGTTGTGTTAGGCTGCGTTCACGTTAGAAGTCGTACTGCTCAGTTCTGTTTTTTGCTCTGATCTTTCCGCCTTGATGGTTCACGTTTGTGTGTGTAAGTGACTCATATTTGTCTCATATTTAGTGAACACACCTCTGCTTTGAAACAACCTGCATTCCCACATTCTAATCAAGAAGGAACTAGCAGCGCATCCGCCATCGCAAAGATGACGTGCTCTGATCAGTTCACCGCTGTTCATGGGAGGAGGTGAATAAATATCAGGTGCATTGATGTGTGTAGCACAGCATTGAGGTCAGATGGCCATGAATCATATGTGTTTTTGATCTGGAGCCACATGAAAGTGGCTCAGATCTTATTTGAAAGGATCTGCGTTCACACAGATTTAACAACACGAAGATTTTTGTGTTCACACGGCTCTAAAAACACCGGATCTGATTAATATGGCTGCTAAGGTGTTGCTAGGTAATTGCTGTGGTTTTCCAGGTGGTTGCTAAGATCTTGCTAGGCCATTGCTATGTTATCCCAGATGGTTGCTAAGGTGTTGCTAGGCTGTTGTTCTGAACTCCCACATGGTTGCTAAGGTGTTGCTAGGCTGTTGTTCTAAACTCCCATGTGGTTGCTAAGGTGTTGCTAGGCAGTTGCTATGGTTATCCATGATGTTGCAATCATCTTGCTAGGCTGTGGCTGTGGTATCCCAGGTGATTGTTAAGGTGTTGCTAGACGGTTGCTATGTTATCCTTAGTGTTTGCTAAGGTGTTGCTAGGCTGTTGCTATGGTATCCCAAGTGTTTGCTAATGTTCACCACGCTAACTTAAATAGCCTTTACTCGCTGTGGTGCTCTATCAGTTGTTATAGTAACTAATGTCAGCCAGTTAAGTGTGAGGTAAAAAATGGTGTGTTGTGTTTAATACTCAAAAAATGTTTTCAGCTATAATGAAGCTGGCTGGTTGGTGGTCATCATCCTCACTAGGTCGATGTTTCTGGGCATTGATATTTGCTATCTGGCCCCCCATTCTGTAAGTCGATCCCCTCTATAATGAAATTCTATGTGGAAGTTTATTAAACTTTAAACTTTTTGCATTTAATACTTTCTCCTGTGCCGTTTGTTTGGTTTTATTTACCAAAAACAGTCTTGATTCATTTTTTCATGATCATTTTCCAACTTCTCTTTATTCCTGATGATTAAAAAGGCTTTTTTGTTACTGTGCCTTTAAGACTCATGTATGTAAATGACCTCTGTTCTAATTGGATGCTCTGTACTGCGCCTCATTCAAAAAGCAGGCCGAAACACTCCTTATAACTTCTGTGTGAGTAGGCGGGGCTAAACTAGTGTAGGCAGAAAAGGCAAATTTGTGTGAATGATTTGGTGGCAAAAAAAAATCAGATTCGTGTCACTTTATACTAGTAGTGTGAACGCAGCTGAAACCCTGTATGTGTTAGTGAACCACTGTCTAGAACCAGCCTGTGCGCCTTTTCTCAGACTCAGTAACGTTTAATTCTCTTTTCCACTGACTAATGTGGATAATTTCCGTTTGACCTTTTCACACCAGTCACTGCACTGTGTCACTGGAAGTCATTGAGGATGAGACACTGGTTTGCGTAAACTGTTCCACCGACGTTGCCTGCTGTGGCAGGTGTCATGACGCATGTGATTTCTTTTGTTTACTTTGTGAATGCCCATAATTACTCAGAGACAGGTTGCTGCTGTTCAGTCTCAAAAATACAGGTTCCTGAGTGGTTCTTGGTTTGGATGTATGGTTCTAAGAAAAATCTTTAACCTTTACATGTTTAAAAATAAATTTACATGACAACATAAAAAACCACTTTTACAGTTGGTTCTCATTTTTGTAGAGGAGATGTTTGAGTGTGAAGAACCTTTTTCACACTAAAATGAGCATGAAGAACCTTCTAGGAAGAACCCCTGGTACTGGTGTAGAACCTTTAAGTTAAGTTACCCTTTATTAATCCCACAACAGGGAAATTCACCTCCGCATTTAAGCCATTTGTGCAGTGAAACACCCACATACACACTAGTAAATGCACACACACTAGGGGGCAGTGAGCACACTTGCCCAGAGTGGTGGGCAGCCCTATCCACAGCACCCGGGGAGCAGTTGGGGGTTAGGTGCCTTGCTCAAGGGCAGTTTACTTTATTTAAACCTTTAAAACGTTCTTCATGCTCATGAGTTCTTTTCAAACCTGTTTCTGTAGGGAACCAAAAGAGGTTTTTGTACGGCGTTCAAAAACCCTTTTTTGGAAAGCGTGTAGGTCGTCATGGGTAAAGGTGCTGAGTTCTCGCATCCTCATGACTTTTCTAAACCTTAAATAAATAAAAAGACTGATAAAGCTGTTTTTTAATCTTCACTAAATGAATCTGCTCTCTCTGCTGTAAAAGGTAGGACTGTAAAATGTTAACTGGAAGGTTTAGGTTGGCTTGACAAATGAAATCCAAAGTGGTTGCTAAGGTGTCACTATGCTATTGTTATGCTATCCCAGGTGGTTGCTAAGGCGTTACCAAGCAATTGCTATGGTATCCCATGAGGTTGCTAAGGTGTTGTTAGACAGTTGCTGTGGTATGCCAGGTGGTTGTTAAGGTGTTGCTAGGCTGTTGTGGTGTTATTTTAGGTGGTTGCTAAGGTGTTGCTAGGCTGTTGCTATGTTATCCTAAGTGATTGCAAAGGTGTTGCTAGGCCATTGCCATGGTATCCCAGGTGGTTGCTTAGGTATTGCTAGACTGTGGCTAAGTTATCCTAAGTGTTTGCTAAGGTGTTGCTAGGCTGTTGCTATGTTATCCTTAGTGTGTGCTAAGGTGTTGCTAGGTCATTGCCATGGCACCCCAGGTGGTTGCTAAAGTGTTGTTAGGTCATTGCAATGGTAGCCCATGAGGTTGCTAAGGTGTTGCTAGGCTGTTGCTGTGGTATCCCAGGTGGCTGCTAAGGTGTTGCTATGCTGTTGCTAAGTTATCCTAAGTGTTTACTAAGGCGTTGCTTGGCGGTTGCCATGGTATTCCAGGTGGTTGCTAAGGTTTGTCAAGCCAACTTAATTAGCCTTTACTTGCTGTGTTATTCTGTCAGTTGTAGTGGTAACCAATGTTGGCCAGTTAAATGTGAGGTAAAAAATTGTGTCGTGTTTAATAATCAGAAATGTTTATAGCTATAATGAAGCTGGCTAGTTAGTGGTCATCAACCCCCACTTTAAAGAGCCCTTATCATGGTTTTTCCACTTTTTCAAGATTCTTTATGGAACCAAAAGTGGTTCTTGTAGTGTTGTAGGAACTTATTCCAGTGAGGAAAAGTCAACATCAACATCAGTGGTTACAAAATTGAAGCTGTAAATTAGCAGCAGTTTCCTTTCGGTTAGGTTGGGTTTAGCAACACATAGTTTACTGTTAAACCCTCGTAAAGGCAGTATTACAAGACTGTGAGTGTGTTTAAGGGGAAGTGGGGTTGAGGTGGTTGTGAAACAGCATGTGTGTGTGTGTGTGTGTGTGTGTGTGTGTGTGTGTGTGTGCGTAGTCTCTCTGTGCCTCTGTCTCTCGCTCACTCACCCACTGCCTCATCAGCAGTTTTGTTGGACGGAGAGAGTGACGCTGCCAAATTCTCACAAAGAAAAATGTTCCATGATTTAATTAGGCCTCAGTTCTCAGTACAATTCTCTCTCTCTCTCTCTCTCTCTTTCTCTTTTGTTTTTGCCCTGCAAAAACTCCAGTGTTGAATTCACTCTTGTGTAGACATCTAAAAACACTCCACTATTTCATTCTGCACTTGCGATTTTACTGTGTGGTTTTGTTCGTTATAAATAATTACACCACATCTTGTTCCACTGCAAGTATGACTGGCCGAAAGTGCCAATCTGACCACGATCTCGTCACGTATCACTCCATCTCATTCACCTGTAATCTAGCAACAGTCGCCGGCGTAAAAAGTTGTGTGCAAAAGTTTAAATGACATATTTTGTTGATTTTTAAAGTGAAAAGAATTAAGCCCAACTTCAGCAGCCAAACTAGGTAGAAAAATAACGTTCTCTGCATGTACTAATGTACAGCTACTTTACATCTGATGAACTTAGAAAACAGACAAAACAGTGATTGTGGCATATGCAAAAGTTTGAAAACCCTTTCAGCTGTGAAGTCTCAGAACTTCATTAACTCTTTAGGCCTTAACTGACTCATTAGGACTGGTTAGGCAGGTCAAGAATTGCCATTAGGTAGTGACCGCTGATAAGAATCCCAGCAGCTCAGACTTTTGAATGAATATTTCAGGCCTTACGGGGAGACTCGCAGCAGCACAAGAATACCATATTTTAGCAGATTTTTCCCTCTTGACTCAGTAATGCTAATTCTTTTCATTTTAACGAAATATTAATACATAGTGCAGCTACAATGAAACTGTTTTCTAGGCTAAATGTAAGACTTTCTTGTTAATTTTTTATGTCATCCAGTGGCAAACAGTGAGCTAGTAAAGCTAGCATTTACGTTCAGGCCATAAATGTTGTCAAAGCTTTGTGAAAACTTGAAAAAAACACATCTACAATGCTAATTTATGCTAGCGCTCCTATGGGATTTCCAGTTTGTGATAGTGCTAAGCTAACGGTGGTCCACATAAACATATTTTTGGCCTCCCTAAATCAAACACAGACAAGCTTGAAGCTTGTAAAAGACATTCAAATATCATTTCCATATATTTGACCTTGAATGAATCAGTTTTAGTGACTCTTTCAGTGAAGAGCTGTTTTTTAATTCTAACAACTAACTGAAACCTGATTGGACTATGGCTTATATTCAAAGGCAGTCTGGACTTCTAGGAGGCCTACAGTGGGGTTTTCTCTCACGAGATTGGTTCCACTCATTATAAATTAAAGTTCCTCACCTCCTGATTATGTTGGTAGTTACTTTAACATCTCACAGTTCAGCTCCTGAAGTCATAACCAAAGGGAGAGCTTACTTGGCTGTACTGACCTAGATACCACTGGGAAAGGTCCTGATTGGACAGTTTTCTGTTGAATGCTTTAACCCTTTTGCTTCCAGCCAAAACCTAACAGTGACCTGAGAGCATTAGTACAGTACTTGCAGAGTGTAAAAGCATTATGATTCTATTAAATAAACATTAACAAATGGATTTTTAGTTCCCAGAAGTCACTCTCTGAAGGCCTAGATAGTTCAGAGGGTTCCCCACTGTTGTCATATTCTCAAAAGGCAACAGTGAATGTCAATAATGAAAATGTGGTGTAATTTAAATATTTCACTTTTCATTCACTCTACGTTCTTCAGTACTCATTCATTTACTCATTTCTCGGTTCATGTATTTCTTGCTCTCTCTCTCTCTCTCTCTCTCTCTCTCTTTCTCTTTCTCTCACTCACGTGCTGTAAAAGGAAGTGTGATTAGATACCGATTTCATCGTGTGTTTGTGTGTGTGTGTTTCAGTATGGAAGGAGGAGAGCTCTTCAGCAGAATTCAGGCCAGAGGTGACCAGGCTTTTACTGAGAGAGGTGAGTTTCCAAGTTTCCACCTAGACAAACTAACTTTGTACATATATATATATATATATATATACAGACATACCATATATATATATATATATATATATATATATATATATATATGTGGTATGTCTGTACATATATGTAATAATATGTCCCAAAATAAAAATTAAATCATTAAATATGAGATAATAGACTTGCACGAGAAAGAATGTCAAAGAAAATAAGTGAAAAAATGGGTGTTTCCAAAACTGGAGTTCAAAAAAAGTTTAAAAGATAGAGAAAAAATGAGATTCGTAACAACCACCTGCAAGACCTGTTTGACCACTGAAACTTGCCCCATCAGATAACCAACTTTGAGAGAGATAGACAATCAAGCTTTGGAGGTGTGGGAAAACATCCCTGAACATTTCTTTGAAAATCTCAATGAAAAAGAATGGAAGTGGACACACTACTAAAAATGGAGTATTATATTTAGTTGTGGAGGCTTTGGAATGAATAACTTGTAATTAATGGACATTTTGACTGTAAATTAAATAAATGAATGGTGGTCTCTAACTTTTGCACATTACTATATGTAAGTATCTATATATAATAAGAGCTTTCTAAGCCTAAATCCTAAGTCTAACTCTACTGTTGACCTTAGGACCCCAAAAGAAATGTTTTTTTCTCGTACAGCTTTAAGAGTGAAACATGGAGCATTGAGTGAAAGGGACTTTAATTTTAACTCTCAGGACTATTTGTTGGTCTTAACAATGCACAAACACACACACGCACACACAGTCGGAAGCCTCAATCATTAGTTTGCCCTAAAATACCCAAACAACTGACTCTGTTCCGGCTCTGCTTTTTGTTTGAGTCTGATTAGGTAAACAAGTCATTTCTAAAACTGTCCCTATAACTGGACATACACATCCGCACGCTCTACATACCCACACTGTACACACACGCACAGACTGTCAGTGCTGAGTAACCCTAAATTAGTCCAGTCTTTCCGCTCCCAGCCAACATGGTGTGGATAAAGCTGGATGTGGCTAGTTTTGTAATAAACCTTTGAGGAAAAAACGAATGGCTGTTTCAGTACCGAATACCGTATAATGAAAATAGTTGACGATGCCAATACTGACGTGTGACAGCTCACATAGACAGCTGTAAATCTTAAAAGTTGACGTGTGTATTGCACGTTACTATAGTTATGTCTCAGTGTTTAGCCTGACAGCCACCTGCTGGGCATTTTAGTCAGTGCCAGTGTTGCCAGATTGAGTGGGTTCCCTCCTATTTGGGTGGATTTTGGTTGGAGTTTAACTGCATCTTTGCACTCACTGCACTGTATTGTACTTTATATCCTAGTATTACTGCACTATTCATATTTGCACCAACAATTACTCACTCACTCTGTATATATGTATACTATATTTATACTTGCTTATCTATATATTTTTTAACCACTATACCATCCTCTTCACTTTATATGTAAATGCTGTAGCGTCTTACCACCGCATATCGCTTTACTTTGCTACTATGAAACACAAGTGTCTAAGACACTGAGAAGGCTGACCATGATGGCTTAGTAAAGTTAGTTAAGATATTTCTATAAATAGTATTGAAACAGGGACAAGGACAAAACATGATTAGCAAGATAGTTCATTTACATTCCACACGGCAGTCCCACCCCATTTTTTAGGTATCTCCACATCGGGTTTGATGTTGTAAATTCACATTATTCACATATTTCAAAATGCACCATTCACTCCCCAGCCTGTACTGTCTGTATCTGGAAATTCCTGCAAAATCAGCACATTTTAATTTGGATTATTTTAGTAATGTCACCAAAACCAGCAGTTACATATATTTGGCTATTCTGCCTGAAGCAGTTTAGCTCTGCCTGTTCATGCTAAAGTTACAATTAGTGTTTTATTCTGAACTGCTTTCTGAATGAGGCGGCCAACCAGAACTGAGGCCATTTATATATATATATATATATATATATATATATCAGTCTTAAATGCACAGTTACGGAAGCAGCCTGTTTATTCTAAGGAATAAACAGTAATGAAACTGTGGTATAGTTGTAATTATAGATATTGGATTAATAGTGTATAACTATATTCCGTGTATTGTTGCAGAGGCTTCGGAGATCATGTGGGACATCGGCACAGCCATTCAGTTTCTGCACAATATGGTTTACTTTACTTTGCTACTATGAAACACAAGTGTCTTAGACACTGAGAAGGCTAACCATGATAGCTTAGTAAAGTTAGTTGAGATATTTCTCTGTTGTCATGTTACCCTGATGAGCCAACATGTGTCCACATTGTTCACCAAGCAGAAAGTGATTTTCGTATGTAAGGAAGCTCTAACATTACCAACTGCACTGACTTAACTCACAGCAGCTAAAAGACTTAATTCATCTCAGATTGACTGAGGGAGATTATTTTAATGATAAAAAAACATGCTCATAAAAGTTCTCCTCTGTCTGCTTCCTTTCTGGATATAAGAGGATAGGTGGCCACTGTTGACCCACTGCTGGCAAAGCTGGCAGCCCACTGGCTGTTTGCTCAGCGTTGTCTGGTCGGCCCACTGGTGGTCAAGCAGAGTGTTAGACAGAATGCCACTTTTAATCACTGACAATCTAATTTACTTATTTGTACTTCATTTCTTTCTTTCATTGTCCTTTGTAAATCATTTTAGTGAAATATTTTAACAGCAATATCATAAATAAAGCTGGTTATACAGCTCTAACTGAACTAGCACAGTATCAGCAATAGCATCATTTTATAGTAGGGCTTTTATATATTTTCTCTCAATTGTTTGTAACATTTGTCTTATTTATTTTCCAAAATAAAAGGTGATGTACATTTAAATTCTGTTTTAGGAGAATAAAAAATAGTTAGACCTTGTGCGCAGGATGATAATCTGGGTGGTCTGAGGATGGGCTAGCCGTGGCATACATTGAGGGGGGTGCTGACCGATATGTTTGCCTTCTTGGTAAAAGCCGTAGCAGTGAGCTGCTTTGGATTTGCTGGGCTTTAGGCTGCAAACTACTCCATTTCTTTGTGCCACTGCAGATACAGCTTCATCACTTTACTCTGCTGGCTGGCTAGTTGGCATGCAGCATGCTAAAGGCTACACAGCTAAAAACAACAGAAAGAAAGTCACTATGCCAAGTTTACAGCCTGACAAAGTAAATATTCACTAATTTCATGTAGGTTATGTCCAAACTTTGTTTCGCATCGCACAGTTTGCACGACACTGAGCCGATTAGCTCACTGAGGCTAACCTAGCTGAGGGCGAATCCCCTCCTCATCTGCTTCTATCGCGGGTGGGCACGTACGAAAAATAAGTGTGACGCACACCCAAGTAGTGACTCAAAGTGGGTGATGGCCTGTTTAAAATAGTACAGTGACAGAGACAAGGACAAAGCTTGATTAGCAAGACCCTACCAAAGAATGTTGCAAAATGTAAATAAACTCTCGCTCAATTGAAAGACTCGTATGACAGAACCCTCATATTTTCTTGCTTTTTGAATATGAATGTATAGAGTTTGATGTAGTAAGTTCACATTATTCACATATTTCAAAATGCACCGTTCACTCCCCAGCCTGTACTGTCTGTATCTGGAAATTCCTGCAAAATCAGCACATTTTGAATTGTATTGTTTTTGTGATGTCACAAAAAACAGTGTACTCGGCTGTACTGTATGCAGCAGTTCAGCTCTGCCCATTCATACTGAAGTTACAAGGCGCAATACAAGGCAGCCAACTAGAGGCCATTGAAATGCACAGTAACAGAGGCAGCCTGTTTAATTCTAAGGAATAAAGAGAGGTTATAAAATGGTCATGTCAAGATCAATTATGACTGTTTTGTGCATAAAACCACACAAATTCCAAAAGCAGACCAAGGTTTGGGGCGAGGGGGGGGTATGGGCCCTTTAAATAGAGTTTTTTTTGTGTCATGGTTGCTAAAAGTTAATAACAAACCCCAGTTATAAACTGTGGTATAATTGTAATTATAGATCTTATTGCATAAACAAAGTGTAGAACTATATTCCGTGTATTGTTGCAGAGGCTTCGGAGATCATGCGGGACATCGGCACAGCCATTCAGTTTCTGCACAATGTGGACATCGCACACAGAGACATTAAGGTAACAGTGAGCGTGTTCTGAGGAGTGGCTGTGTGTGTGTGTGTGTGTGTGTGTGTGTGTGTCTGTGTGTCCGTGTGTTACTGATTTTAATATGTTTCTGCATAACACACAAAGATAATCATAACGTTTCAAATTGTAATACCTCTGATAACCTTGCACAATTACTGTCTTTTAAAAACATGAAAGGAAAAGTAAACAGTCTGCTGTCACAGTCTCCCTGCACAACACGCACCTGGATACATGTTTACACAGTTATGATCTGAACAGTAAACAGTAGAAGTGCTGGCAATAACATCATATTTATCCATTGTACTATGTATTTTTATATATTCATAAAGTGTAGATGTCATTTAATACATGTGCTGGAAAAAAAATCCGTCATGACGTCATGACTCTTAGTTTACGTTGGGACTTCTAGTGAGGTATATGGTTTGGGAATATAGATCTTTACTGAAGAATAGAACTGAGGAATATAGACCTCCGGTGAGGAATATGAGCTGGAAATATAGACCTCCAGTGAGGAATATGAGCTGGAAATATAGACCTCCAGTGAGGAATATGAGCTGGAAATATAATAGACCCCCAATGAGGAAAATAACTGGGGAATATAGACCTCCAGTAAGGTGTATGATTTGGAAATGTACACCTCTAGTGTGGAATATGATTTGGGAGTATAGATCTTTACTAAAGAATATAACTGATGAATATAGACCCCCAGTGAGGAATATGGTTTGGGAATATAGACCCGCAGTGAGGAATATGAGCTGGAAATATAATAGACCCCCAGTGCGGAAAATAACTGGGGAATATAGACGTCCAGTGAGGAATATGATTTGAGAAAATAGACTTCCAGTGAAAAGTATACTTCGGGAAAGTAGACCTCTAGGGCAGAATATGGTTTGCAGTCGTAGACGTCCAGTGAGGAATATGATTTGGGAATATTTTTGGAATGTCTAAAATATTGTTTTGTTTCTTATTGTCCCTCTTCACCCACTCCGCAGCCAGAGAACCTTCTCTACACCAGTAAAGAATCCAACGGCGTCCTCAAACTGACAGATTTTGGCTTCGCTAAGGAAACGTCATTACACAACCCGCTGCAGACGCCCTGCTACACCCCATATTACGTGGGTATGTGTGTGTCCTGCTAGTGCTCTAGACCCTTTTCTGCCAGTAACTCAGATCCAGCTCTGCCTACAAATATGATATTTTGTAGCAACTGTTGCCAGGTTGGAGAAGCTTTACAGACTATTAGCAAAAATCCCATTCAACCTAATAAGGGGCTGTAGCCCAAACTCGGCTACAAAAAAAACTTTTTCTTGTCGAAATACAGAAATTGGGAGTTAATTTCATGTGATATTTATTTTGTGTGTGAAAGTTCACACTGTTAGGGTTCAGCTCTGTTTTAAACTGGAAACTCAGCCTTATATAGTGACTCTAAACTCCAACATAAATTCCCTGTGGTGATTGACATTTTTGTGTTCTGCCAACTTTGTAACAGTTGCTACAAAAGTATGCATTTGTGGGTGCAGCGTGGATTGGCCAGTTTCCCAGAGTTTTGTCTGAATTAGAAGTGCCACTTCATGTGAGTTGGAGTTCTGTAATTGTATGTTATTTGCAGACACGTCTTCATTACTGTATTTCTAAGTCTCTCTCTCTCTGTTTTACTCCCTCTTAGCCCCTGAAGTTCTAGGCCCTGAGAAATATGACAAGTCATGCGATATGTGGTCTCTGGGCGTCATTATGTACATCCTGTGAGTATGAGAAAGCGGCGTGTGATGTGTCTGCCGTGGTCTGTTTGGTCTGTATTTATATGCAACACATTCCTGAATCAATGTCACCATCAGTTGAGATAAGCATGAAAAACTCAATATAAAATTCACTTTATTGTTTATTAAATATGCTCTATACTGAGTATCTTGATTGGTATAGTCTTATTGTGAGCTTTTCTCAGAGAAAGAAAAGTTTCCAGATTTCCTGAAATGGCTCATGTCATGATTACTTGCATACCTGAATGAGAAAGGGAGTTTATATTGTGTGTTACTTCATGTTTAAACCTCAGTCAAATAGTCATTAAATGACTTAAACAGCTTAAAAAGTAGAAAAAAGCAGTAGGTCATGCGAGGCTGCGTGATGCAGTGGTTTCCCCATGATCATGATGTGTTGATAGATTTGACGTGAGGCATCATTTATTGTAATAACAATCCCAAAAAAATTTCTTCCACTATGATGTATGGTTTGTTGACTGTGGTCTGTGGTTGCCAAGCAACATAACAGTCAAAGATGATCCATGTACACTGACCACAAGGAGAGTCCATCTCCTTGTTTCTACCCTCATTGTCCATTTCATCTGCTCCACTGACCATACAGGAGCAGCTTTGTGTAAATGGCACTGTGTCCTTGTTTTTCAGCTGACCTGCCCTGGGCAAGAGGTGAACTGTTGTTGTTTGTTTGTGCAGGTTGTGCGGTTTCCCACCGTTTTACTCGAACACAGGCCAGGCCATCTCTCCAGGAATGAAGCGGCGAATCCGAATGGGCCAGTACGAGTTCCCCAACCCAGAGTGGGCCGAGGTGTCTGAGGAGGGTAAGACAGGAGCGGTGTGTCTGTTGTGTGTGAACTCTGGGAGAAAAGAGCTGTGTGTGTGTTGAAACGAACAGATTTAATCACCATTCTTTAGCAGACGATTATGTGCTTCAGAACTCAGATAGTAGATAATTACAAGGATTCTGTTATGATCTATTTAAACCCAAGGCATTCACTGAGGTAGTATTAAACTAAATGTGTACAAAATCATCATTTACGCGGTCTGTACTTTAGTGTCTGTCCCAAACCCCAACCCCTAAATTTACACTTGTGAAAATCATAGTACGTGTTTTCAGTGTGTTTTTTTAAAGACCCTTTTGATTTTTTTACTGAAGTTGGAATATTTAGATTCATCATGTGTACAGAAACAGTTTTAGTCTGTAGGCAGAGTCTTATTTTAGCCATACCCCTGCATTTTAGAGCAAGAAGTGGGACTGCATCCCTGTCCCTCATGGCCACATGCTGAGCAGTTAGATCCCATTGTTTTGAAGCGAATGTGTCCCAAAATCTGAAAATCAGTGTGGAACATTAAGAATTGTCACTACCGAAACACATTTTCTGCAATTAAGTAAACTTTTGTGTTTTAATGAAAAATATTATGACTTCTAGTAAACACAGTTTAGAATTTTAGCTCATTTTAGCTCATTTTTGAGTCCAGCTGAAAATGTGCTGAAATTCTCACTACACAAACAGCCAATACAGTAGAATGATCCATGTATGACTAAAAATGGTTCTATACACTCTCAGAAAAAAGTATGAGACTGTCATGGGGGCGGTACCCCTCTTGCCACTGGGGTGGTACCCTCAAGGGTGCATCTCAGTACCTTTAGTCAGGGAACATAACTGTACCATAATTCATTAAAATTATATTTTCTAAGCTGTACTGACTCCACACACCCCGTCTCGTCTCCAGGACTTTTATTTTATTGTTCTGTTTTAAAACATTAGATTATGTAGAGGTTCAAATATGAACTTTACACCTGGGAAAACCTATTTAAGGTGCACAATCAGACCTTAAAACCACTGCTGTACCTTTGAGGAAACATTTACATTGTTTGTACCTTGACGAACGAAAAATGCACCTGAACAGAACCTTTATTTCTAACAGATCACAGCCGCCAAGGAAGTGATTCAAATTATATACGAGTGAATGAAAGACTTTCATGGAGTTAAAACAGTCTTTAGGGTAAAATATGTGTTCAATTGCTGTCAAAATTTGCAGATGATGTTACTATGGGAAGACAAGATGACTGAAAACATGAACCTGTTTAACTACAAATGATATCAGTGTTATATTTTACTCTGCGTTAGTTTGTGGCTCATTCTCCACTTCACCTTTTCTGTATAGCAGAAAGAAGTTTAAAAGCAGAATTCATAGTAAAGCAACCTTTAGGTTGAGCGTGTGTGTTATTGTAAATAGTAGCTCGTAAATGCCTCAGCTGTTGTGGCCGAATGTGTGCGTGTTGACCGAGCTCATGTTGCTGCTCACATTTTAACACTGTGTCCAGTTCAACAACCAGCCCAACCAACACTCAGCCTGAAGTCCATGTATGTTTAAAACCCACTTTACTCTTCTATACACGTCTACTGACGTGTTTTACTGCTTCGTAAAGTTTCACGCATTGAGAGTATAGAGTGTTCGATGGAGTTTAACCCCTTAGACCCAAGAACCCTTATTGTTATTAAGCTAATAAAGATGAAATATTAATAAAAATGGATAATAAAGATGTATTAGTCTGTCATTTCTATAAATAACTCAATAACTACTATAAAACATGTTAGATATTTATGTGAGTGAGAAACTCTCACTGTGGGGTTTAACCTTCCCAGATCTTTCATCTTGGGGGGCCAAAGTGCAAGTGTGGTGGGCCATGTCAAGTCAAATTTCTAAGAACGTGTTTTATAACATTACACTGTATCCATCCCCTAAAATACTTAAAATACAAAGTATTTGAAGGCTGTTTGGGTAAATTTATGACTGGCCAAATCAAACGTCCTCATGGGCCAACTTTGGGTCGCATGACACGCTTCGGGCAGCCCTGGTTTAAGGTGTTAATGGGGCGTAATTAGTACAGCAATGTGCATAAAATCACAGGAACAAACTGGGCACTAAAGGGTTAAATGTGTTGGCCTTTACTGCTCCACTAAAACATGCATGTTAATACTTGAGTGAGTGTATTTGTGACAGTGTGTGTTGGCAGCTCACTTCTTGTCTCTCCTGTCGTTAGCCAAACAGTTGATTAACCAGCTGCTGAAGACTGACCCCAATGAGAGGATGACCATTACACAGTTCATGAACCATCCCTGGATCAATGTGAGTGTTCATAGTCATCATTTATATGAATGTATTGGTGCCTCTCGACATGTTAAGCCTGGATGATACTTTGACAGCAGAGTGTCACAGACACACTAACGTTACTGGTAGGGCTGAGCAATATGACTATATATATTGTTATCATGATAATACAGTAATGCTTTTCTGATAATGAGATAATGCTTATCTTGGATATTGTCAGTACTTGTAGACACTGACCAACAGCATGTTTCATCATGAAGAGAGCAAAATCAGTCCTGTTTAACTGGATTTGGTGCAACACAGTATTGAATAAAAATGGGTTTATTCACAGCTTTTGATTATATGTTTTAAAATGTAGCACTACTGGCTCTTTTTTCTCAGTTCCAACTGATCCGATGTCTGCAAAAAGAAATATTGTGACATATCGTGTATCGTGAAAATTCAAAGTATCACAATATTATGTTTTTGTCATATCGCCCATTTCTAGTTTATAGTTAGCGCTGTGGTCGTGGTAGTATTCTCTGTGATACGTTATGATGGAGGTGTCATATAAGTGCCTGTAGAGGTGAGCCTGCTCAGCAAATCTGCCTTCAAATTCGTTCATTTTGAATAAAGCGCAACATGCGTGAGCGAAGTTAAAACAATTGAGAGTGAGCATTACCGTGTGCTGCGACACCACTTTAGTTCATTTTCTCCGTATTTTATTTTCTCTAAGAAAACCCTCCACACTGAATGCGTTTACATGCACTTAAAAATCTGATAACTGCAGAAAATCAGATTATGTCAGCAATCCGATCAACACGTTTACATGCACTTGAGTAATCAGATAATGGGGAAACTCCACGTCTACATGAGTCACACAGTAATCAGATTTCTGCTTTGCAACCAGCCAATAAACTCACAAAATGAGACGTAATTGTAACATAAAGCCCAAACTTCATGAGCGTTTTTTATTAAACATCACTCCACTTTACATGAAAATATGAACATGCATCATCTAGAAGATGAAGAATATTTAAATCCTTTATTTTTTCTTCATGTTTGGTTTCAGTGCAGCTCCTAAAGTGTTTTGCTGCATCTTTCGGCAACGCTGCTCGCTTATTTCCGGGCCTGATTTCTGTTTTCACGCACAGACTGAGGAATCCGAAAGAAATCTGAGTAAGAGTTCACGTGTACTGAGACATCTGATTACTGAGCTAAAATCCAGCTCTCTTTATCATATTTCTAAATCGGATTTCTAGATCGGAGTATTGTGTTTACATGACTGTTTGAATAATCGGATAACTGCAGAAATCTGGTTATGATCGGATTATTGAGCGCATGTAAACGCGCTCACTGATTACCAACAACATTTAGAAGATGGTTTTAACACACATCACTGTAGTGTCGACGCTGCCGCAGTTCTCATCCTTATTTAGTTTTACCTTTTGTTTAAATTAGAATTAAGATTATAAGCTTCAATCTTACTTTTATTGATTTAAATCATCTCTCGCTGTTTAGTTTACCTGTTTTTCTTTTTTAAAGATAGTCCACAGATCTTTCTGGCATTCTCTAGAGCAGGCAGGGTTGCCAGGTCCTGCAGTCATCTCCAGCCTAATGTTTGATTAAAAGCTGCCCGTCCTGTGTGCTTTATAAATTTGGCAAATAAAATGATTCTGATTCAGATTCTGATCAGAAGCTGAAATCATTACGTTTTCAAACTATTCTGATTTGGTGGGCCGACCGCAAACCTGGCAACCTGGCTGTGTGCGCTGTATCAAACAGCAAAACCAATGAAACCTGACAAAATCCTGATAATTGAGGTCAGTTTAACGTGCAAAAGCTATCAGACTCTCTGTCTGCGTCTGAGCTGTGCTTGTAGTGCAGTGTTAACTGTAGTTCTAGTATATAAGTAGCGGTGAGGTTGTGTTTGTGTTGTGAATAGTTGTTGATTTTCTGATCATTTTTGTGTTTTTCCCCAGCGATCTATGGTGGTCCCTCCGACGCCGCTGCACACCACACGGGTCCTCACTGAGGACAGAGAGATGTGGGATGAAGTGAAGGTAAGCAGCAGACAACACTGACCCCTGCTGGACAACAATGGACATGCAGTTTAATACAAAAACATAACATGATATAAACTTACAGTATTTTGGGATTTTTTGTTATTGAATAATAAAATTATTATTAATGTCAATAATAATAATTATAATTAAAACAAATTGGAATAAAAGTCATCATTTGCTTCTTTTACTTGTTTAATTTTCATTCATTTCAATCATCAAATTTGCATCCAAATTTCACTGTAATTTGTCCTAAAATCCAAAAGAGGGCAGCATAGTATATATATTAGATACATCAGCTCACATCAGAGTGCCTTCCTTTCTTTCTTTCTTTCTTTTTTCTTTATTTCTTTCTTACTCACTTTCTTTCTTTCTATTTTTTTCTTTCCTTTATTCTTTCTTTCTGTCTGTCTGTCTGCCTTTTTTCTCCTTTGTTCTTTTCCCTTTATTTCCTTTATTCCCTTTATTCCTTTCATTCTTTTTTCTTTTTATTCCCTTTTTCTTTTTATTCCTTTTTCTTTCTTTTCTTCAATTCTTTTTCATTGTTGTTCTTCCTTTCCTTTTCTTATGTTTTCTCTCTTTCAATCTTTTTGTTCTTTATTTTTTCTTTATTTATTTATTCCCTCCGACTTTCTTTTCTGTTTGTATTTTTTCTTTGTATTGTATTGTTTGTCTTCTTTCTTTCTTTTTTGTTCTCTTTTTCTTTTCATTCCATTATTCTTTCTTTAATTTTTTTTGTTGTTTTTTTAATTTTTTTCTTTCTTTCCTTTATCCTTTCTTTCTTTTCTTCTCTGTCTGTCTGTCTGTCTGTGTCTTTCTTTCTCCTTTTTTCTTTTATTTCTTTTTTCTTTTCATTCTTTTTTCTTTTATTCCTTTTTTTCCTTAATTCTTTTTCATTTCTTCTTTCTTTACTTTTATTCTTCCCCTTCATTATTTTCTTTTCTTTTGTATTGTTTTCTTTCTATTCTCGTTTCTCTTCTTTCTTTCTTTCTTTCTTTCTTTCTAATTGACTGTCTGTCTCTCTCACTTCCTCTCTGTAGGAGGAAATGACCAGCGCTCTTGCGACCATGCGTGTGGATTACGACCAGGTGAAGATTAAGGACCTGGACACGTCCAGCAACCCGCTGCTCAACAAGAGACGGAAGAAAGCGGCAGCGGCCAGCGGGAAGAGCGCGGTCTGCAACAGCCAGTGAGGGACAAGAGGGAGAGTGTGGACAGATCAGCTGATCGGAGGAAAGGAAATGATGAACTGATTGATTGATTGATTGATTGATTGATCGGTGGAGAAGCGGAGAAGAAGACAGAGATCAGAGCAAGTGTGAACGGATGGAATGATGGCTGGACAGACAGATGGGAGGATGAATGAAGAAGGAGAAGAAATGAGTGCGTTAGTGTGGAGGAGGAGGTGAAAGGGAGGACATATAAGATTGCTGAGTCAGCACACAGCTGCAGTGACTCCACCACTCACTCACATCACTATAACCAGCATTAGGACACGTTAGCTGTGACTGCCCGTTAGAGCTGCACGATACGGACTGAACACTATCTGCTTTCTATCAAGACTGGCATTGCAGTAGAGGTGGCACCGATCTGATACCATGTATCAACATCGGGTCAATAGCAAGAAAACGCTGCTATTGAGAAACGAATGTGATCCGGTCCTGTAACAAACCTGTCCTGAAATAGCACCTGCTCACTGTGTCTTGTCATGTTAACTGTGCACAGAGTTGGGCAGATACTTTGAAAAAGTAGTGAAAAGAGCTCAAGTATGTACCTTATGTGTACAAATATGTACCTTTTCTCTGGAAAAGAGAATGTAGTGTACCTTTAAGAGTCATTTAAGGCAGAGTTTATCATTCACAGGGCCTTAGGTGGTCCTTGGGCCAATTTTAAGGAGGAGCCAGTGGTCCATAGTGGGTGATAGCATTTTGTCATAAAAATCAGTGAAAAAAACTGGCTTAATAATAAGAAAGAAGTGTGATTTTTTTTTTAATAGTAAAGAATATTAATACAAGCCCTGCAACAGCAGCCAAACAGACAAAATACACTCCCTCGAAGTAGCAATCGTTCACTTGCAAGTGAAAATTTTCGCTTAATTTGCCACCATGTTGCCTGATTTCTGTATATATATATATGTATATATATATATATATATAAAGCGAGTTTATGTTAGCCTAATCTGCTGATAGTTTATTTTCAGTCATAAACATTGCATATTGTGGCACCCAAACATCACTGTGTTGAAACTTTCCCTAAAATTATTATTATTTTTTTTAATCTAGTCATAAATAAGTGGACCTTAAGGTGGAAAAGGTTGAGAACCCCTGATTTAAGGTACTCAGTTGGACCTTAAGAACCATGTTGTACGTTTCAGGGCACAATTACATTGTTTATAACCTCATCTTAAGTGCTTCAATGAAAAATAGCTAATACTCTGATACTAAAGCTTTCAAGGTATCGGGGGGAAGAAAAAGCGGTGTTGTGCCATCTCTACCTTGCAATATACTAAAACCACAATGAAGAAGATTTGATGTGCTGTGATCAAAAGACTAGTTGAACAAAAATCAGATTTACATGTTTTTCTGCTAAACCCTAATTGCATTCGATCAGCCAAGACATGTTTAGGCCCAATTCTATTTCTCACTGTTACCCCTACCCGTTGTTCTCGAGTGTCACCTTGCCCCCTAGAACTGAGTTACAAAATTTAGTGAGAACTGGATGCGTGTGATTGATCAGATGGCTAACAAATAAACAAAATCAGTGCAGGGCTTATTTGCATAGCGCCGCCTTCTGTGATTTCAGGAATGCAAAGGTCCATAATGCAAACGATATACTGTGCAGCCTCAGTGCCTGTGTGCCTGTATGTGTACAGACAGACAAGATTATGTGGTTATGAACTGTCTGTGTCTGTTGCTTATGTGATACTGTAATAACTGTAACAGCCGCAATCACACATCTAATTGTGTGTGTTGTATGCATGTATACATATGAGTAGGGCTGTCACTGTCCATCATATTAGTAACCAAGCAATCTATCGGTCATTTCGATGATTATTTGAGCAAAGCCAAATGCATTTAAAGGGACATTTAAAGGGAAATTAAAAACGTAACCACCACTTAATCTTGTAAACAAGCCTACCCCTGCCGTGCCGTGGTGCTGTAGTAGTCCCAAGAGTGGGATTTAGTCTTGAAAACCCCCTTCTGTTGATGCGTATTGAAGGAGGAGCTTTTCAAAAACTACAAGTGCTTTGGTGGGGGGATACATGATGGAGGGCTACCCAATGTGTAATGTATTCTGGGTATTGTAGTGAGAGAACGTTGATAGACGTAAAAGCAAATTAAGATAAGAAATTGTAAATTCTTTCAAACTCACCAGGCTGAGCTGAGCTACAAGTTTTTATATAACATGACAAATAATGTTATGTGTCGTTTTTAGGCCAGACTGCCCCTTTAACTGAACAACGAACCACGCAGAGCCTTTCAAAAATTCACAAAATCACCCATCTTTGCTGATTCTTTGAGAAGGTCCATTTTAGTGGACCTTATAGTGACAGTCCTACATGTGAGATACGTGTTTCGAGGCCGTGTGTTTGTACGTTATGGTGCAGAGGACGTTCTGGAGACACTACGCAGCACTGCCAGCCTGAAGCACCCTTAGCCTTTAGCCTTTAGCCTTCCTCCTCACTGCCTCCTCTTCCTCCTCTTCTCTGAATGGAGGAACGTCGACGAGAACATTGACCCCAGCAACTACACACTCTGCAATGGGACTGATTGAGTGTGTGTGTGTGTTTGTGTTTGCGTGTTTCGTGCTCGGCTGGTGGGTTTCAACAATCCCATCATGCTTTCACCCCACAGAATTCTCTGTTTGTCTTCGTCTTTCTCTTTTGATTCCCTTTTTTAACGGGCAGAAACGGGAATGTGAAAAGCGTTTGATCTGAGTTTGTTTTGTTTTTCTCCCACAGTTCACTTTCTGTGTTTGTTCATTTAGAAGTTGTACCATCTTTCAGGATATGAATCATGTTCTGTGGATCGCAGATGATTGTTAAGTGTCTTAATAATAACTCGAAGGTAATTCCACAGATTTTTGTATGTAATTTAATGGTTGAGGTGTAAACAAGGTCATTCGAAGTGGTTTGGTGTGCAGAGACTTTTACAGTGGTGCTGATAGGAACCAGGGGTCACCATGTCTACAACACACATATAGCCATTTTATTTACTACCCAAGACCACCAGTGGACCTACTGTCTTTTTTTGCCTTACATGTATTGTTGATGATAAACATTAAAAATACCAATAAATCTGAAAAAATTAGTTTTCTTTGGGGACTGTTTTTCCTCACAACACCCTTTATGTACCCCTCCGCCAAGAAAACACATTAGGCCTAAATTTGATCTATAATAAAACAATATCTTAGACATCAGGAAACATTCTCAGCCATTTCATGTAATGACTTTATATGAGGTACCTTTAGATCTTTCAGACGTCTGGTTCCTATCACCACCACTGTGAGCACTGTGACTCGGTACCTTTCTCTAGAACGGAGCACTTCATATCAAACCACTCTCACATCCTAACCATTTAATTATGTAGAAATTTTGAAAAATGAGTGGAATTCTACTTTGACACTTAGTGTTTAAAGTAATAGCCCAGCATTTTCAACCTCTGTCTCTGAGAAGCATCTTCCCATTGACTTCTATTATAAGTCAACACGTTTTCTCTTCTGTACGTAGTTCAGGGAAACATATTTAAACTATCGTCTGTGCTAATCAGCCATACGATACAGATGCAACAGATAGAGATTAGGTTGAAAACGCACTAGAATATTCCTTTAAGTCAGTGGTTTCGTCACTCATACCTACAGCATTGCACTACGCATTTGTACAGTCTTTGGTTCACTTCTGTTAATCTGAATAAGACGCTATTCGAACTGAAACCGAATATTCCACTATATTTCATTATTTTGTGAATTTTATGTCATAAAACACCTTATTTGGACAAACTCTCCTCTTGTGTATTAAGTCTAGCCTACCTAAATGTGTTTGAAGCATTATTTTGAAGGATCTTCATCTTCATCAATCCACGTGCACCCAGTCCAACCCAGCCTGACCAGCGTGGCCCACTGTCTTTTCAGAAAGCTTCATGTAAATGGCACTCACACAACATTGCCTTATTCAGAGGACTGTCAGATTACTGGCTATTTTGAGACCGTTTTGGATGATGTTGTTCCTGCACTGTAGACTAAATCATTTAAATTTCAGTAATGACTTTGTGTTTGTCTTCAACATGTATTTCCGTTCTCACAGTTCTCTCATATAATCACCACAACAGCCAAAAGCCAGTTAGACCAGCTTAATGAAAGTAAAAGAGTGGGCTGAGAATGGGTCTGTATGTACAGTGCTGTGAAAAAGTTTTTGCCCCCCTCCTATTTATGCATATTTGTCATATTTGTTTCAGATCTTCATCCGAAATTTGAATATAAGACAAAGACAACCTGAGTACTGAGCTTGACACAGTCATTAAATGATCATTTCATTTACTGAAGTTATCCAACACAAACTGGCCCAGTGTGAAAAACTAATTGCCCCCCCCCCACCCCCACTTAATTACTCAGTGAGCCAAATAAGCAGATTTGGTTGATAATTGGGATCAATTAAACTAGACATACCCAGGCTTGATCACTGCCAACCCTGCTAAATCTAAACATCCGTTAAATAGAACCGCTCCAGCAATGAGAAGCAGGCTAAAAGGCCTCAACAAGCATCATGCTATGCCTCGATGAAAAGAAATTCCGTAAGAAATGAGAAAGTTATTGAAATGTGTCAGTTTAGAAAGGGTTACAAAAGTCATTTTTAAGGATTTGGGGCTCCAGCGAACCCCTCTGTCTTAAAATGGAGAAAACTTGGAACAGTGGTGAATCTTCCCAGAAGTGGCTGTTTTACTAAAATTCCTCTAAGAGCGCAGCAAACCCAGACAACCATCTAAGGAACTGCAGGCCTTGCTTGCCTCATAAGGTCAGTGCTCATGATTCCACCTTTAGAAAGAGACAGGACAAGATTTGTATCTATGGGAGAGTTGCAAGGTGAAACCCGCTGTTAACCAAGAGGAACATAAAGGCTTATTACACATTTGCCCAAAATGACCAGATCACCCCCAAACTTTCTGGAATATTGTTCTGTGGACTAATGAGTTGAATGTGGAACTTCTGGAACACAGAGTTGATGTTAACACAGTAATCCACAATGAGAAAATCATACCAACAGTGAAACGTGGTGGTAGTGTGATGGTGTGGACATGCTTTGCTGCTTCAGGGCCTGAGCGACTTGCCATCATTGTCAGAACCATAAATTCTGCTCTCTACCAGAAAATCTTGCAGGAGAATGTCCGGTCATCAGTGTGTGGTCTGAAGCTCATGTGCAACTGTGTTATGCTGCAAAACAATGATCCAAAACACAAGAGAAGTCCACCTGAATGCCACAAAAGAAACAGAATTAAGGGTTTGGAGTGGCCTAGTCAAAGTCCTGACCTTAACTCCATTGAGACGATGTCGCAGGACCTTAGACAATTCTTGAGGCTGAATTAATACAAAGAAGAGTGGATAAGATTTCCTCCACAGTGATGTGGAAGACTGATGTCCGGTTAGGGGAAGCATTTGGTTGCAGTTGTTGCTGCCAGAGGCGGCACAAATATTACACTGCTGGTCAAGTTTTGGGACACTTACAGTAACTTTTCACATTTTTTTTAGGAAATGAAAGTTTTCTTCGTCAGATGGCAATAACTGTTTAGATTTTGCACAGATTTGTTTAGGTTTTTGGTAAAAACTGCAAAAACAATGGATGTAAAAAGCCTCTGCTTGGCAATAAAGCCAACATCCACACACTTTAGCCCCTTGTTGTGATGTCAGCTCTCATCTGCACTCAAACCTTTCAGTTGTTCAAACCACCTTTGCGCAAATATGTGCTTTTAACCATAGTTTGGAAGAGAAAACTGTCAAATCATTATTTAACCAAAACCTTCATAGAAGGAAGACACTGTGAACATGAAGCTGAGCGTTAAAGCTAAATAAACCCAAAAGATTAGCTGTGCTAGCTACTTAATTAAAACGCAACAGTGAAAAAGTAGCATTATTAAGGCTAAGTGTCCTTTTCACTTTTCACCGGCAGTGTAGCTTAATAAAACATAAAAAATTAGGACAAACAAATAGCCGGTTTCAATGAAGCTAGCCCTGCGCGTGGTGTTAGCAGGCCTAACAGTGTTTTTCACCAAAACGCAGTGCAAAAAAGAGGTATGAAGGCAAAGCCTGTGTGACTGCAAGTTCAGTGATCTCATGTAGCTACAAATCTTGTGCAGTGAGGAGTAACAATCTTATCTTTGTCTTACAGAGTGAGCTTTTACACTGTTACACACCGATCAGCCAAAACATTAAAACCTTTGGTTTTGTTAGCATTGTGCTAACTAGTGGAAAGATGATGGAGATGGAAGAGCGATGGAAAAATAATCTTAAACCTACTTATGTGGTTTCTGACATTACATGATAAACACCGATCAGCCAAAACATTATGACCACCTCCTTGTTTCTGCGCTCATTGTCCATTTTATCAGCTCCATTTACTATATAGGTGTATTTGTAGTTCTACAGTTACAGACTGTAGTCCATCTGTTTCTCTGCATACCTTGTTAGCCCCCTTTTCCCCTGTTCTTCAGTGGTCAGGACCCCCACAGGACCACCACAGAGCAGGTTATTTGGGTGGTGGGTCATTCTCAGCACTGCAGTAACACTGACGTGGTGGTGGTGGTGTGTTAGTGTATGTTGCACTGGCACGAGTGGATCAGACACAGCAGAGTTTTCAAACACCTCAGTGTCACTGCTGGACTGAGAATAGCCCACCAACCAAAAAATATCCAGCCAACAGCGTCCTGTGGGCAGCGTCCTGTGACCACTGATGAAGGACTAGAGGATGACCAACACAAACTGTGCAGCAGCAGATGAGCTATCGTCTCTGACTTTACATCTACAAGGTGGACTGACAAGTAGGAGTGTCTAATAGAGTGGACAGTGAGTGGACACAGTGTTTAAAAACTCCAGCAACACTGCTGTGTCTGATCCACTCATACCAGCACAACACACACTAACACACCACAATCACATGTCACTGGGCTGTGGAAAGGACATCAAAATGTGTGCTCATGTATTTGTATGTCCCATTTGAACTCCTTGTTTTTGCAATGTCACA